AAACAGCCGTTAAAGCAAAGAAAGCCGCATACAATCGCTTTAAGAATCTATCCACGCCTGAGCGTCTGATAGAATTCAAAAAAGCGAGGGCCAAAGCGAGACGTCTTATGCTCGCGGCCAAACGAAATAGTTGGAAAAACTTCGTCTCTTCCCTGACCGGCAAAACCTCCCCCGTCGAGGTGTGGAGAAAGATCGGAGCCATCAAGGGGGCCGGATACTACGGCCCCATATCAGAAATTCTGGACGATGACAACTCTCTGACCAACAGAGAGGACATCGCCGAGGCCCTGGGCCGACATTTCGAGCGGACGAGCTCCTCGTCCAACTACGATGGCGATTTCCGGCGAAATAAAAGAACTCGAGAATCAATCCCTCTAAATTTCTGGAGTGAGGGTGAGATATCGTATAACTCACCCTTCACGATGAAAGAGCTGTGTGAGTCTCTGAAGACGGCAAAACCATCTGCGGCCGGCCAAGATGGGATTCGGTACGAATTCGTCAAACACCTTCCCGAGGACTGGCTGGAACTGTTACTGGACCTATACAATAACGTATGGTCTTCCGGTACCTTTCCACCGTCCTGGAAGACTTCGTTGATCGTACCAATCTTGAAACAGGGCAAAGATCCGACGTCGGTGAACAGCTACAGACCGATCAGTCTTATCTGTTGTCTTAGTAAGTTGTTCGAAAAAATGGTGAATTCCAGATTCGTGTGGGTGCTGGAAAGTAAGCGACTCCTCGCCGACCATCAATTTGGTTTCAGGCAGGGTCGCTCTACCACCGACAACTTGGTCCTCCTGGAGCGCGCCGTTCAGGACGCTTTCTTCAAGAGAGAGCATCTGGTTGCCGTTTTCTTCGACATCGAAAAAGCCTACGATATGACCTGGCGATACGGCATCCTCGAGCAACTCCACGCTTGGGGTTTTCGGGGAAAACTCCCCGTGGCCGTATCGTCTTTCCTCGAAAACCGAAACTTCAGAGTTCGGGTAGGCAACAGTCTGTCGGAACTGAAAACTTTAGAAAACGGTATACCGCAAGGCTCCACCCTGAGCGTGACGTTGTTCCTGGTAGCCATGAACTCCATCACATCCGGTCTGGATGCCGACGTCGGCAGGTGCCTATACGTCGATGACTTGGCCATTTTTTACAGCGGGAGTGACATGGCGGTAATGGAGCGTACGCTACAAACGGCGATCAACAAAATAAACGAAAATGCCTGTTATAGAGGTTTTAAAATCTCCAGAGATAAAACCAAATCCGTACATTTCTGCAGATTACGCCGCGAACATACGGACCCTAGCTTGCGAGTGTCCGACTCGCGAATCGAGTGCGTACCATCGATGCGGTTCTTAGGCGTCATCCTCGACAGAGGACTACGGTGGACGCATCACGTGGAGGACCTTTTGGCCCGCGGCAAGAAAGCGCTGAACACAGTGCGCATGGTGTCCAATACTCGGTGGGGTGCGGATTCGTCTGTCCTGCTGAGGCTGCACCATGCCCTCGTGCTGCCGATCCTGGACTACGGGGCGGTGGCGTACGCGTCGGCGAGACAGTCCCTGCTTAAAAAGCTAGACACTATCCACAACCTGGGACTGAGATATGCCATCGGGGCCTTTCCCACAACCCCCACAAGCAGCTTATACTGCGAGTGTGGCGTGCCGTCCCTGTGGAAAAGGAGAGAAAAGGCGCTATTGTCGTATGCCTCGAAAATAAGCGCGCGGCCGCACCACCCGGTTCACGGGTGTATCTTTGAGGTAGGGCTGCCGTACGAGCGCAGGCCGACTGTCACCCGACCGTGTGCCGTGCGATTAGCCGAATTACAGCGCGAGATGGATTGGACCCTGCCCGTGGTAACTTCTGTAGAGGCGGGAGGCCCGGAGCCCTGGATCGAGGACGCCGGGAACGTCCCGACGGTCCCGACGGTCGATCCCGAGACACAACCCGCTCCTGATCTAAAATTTGTTTTGAGCCACATTAAGCAACGAATAATGGGGAAGTGGCAACAGGAGTGGGACGATACGGGCAACCGGGGTTTTCGAGCGGTAAAGCCTGAGGTGGAGGGCTGGAGATTTCCAATCTCTCTGTCCCGGGAGGACCAGGTTATATACCACCGACTCCGTCTGGGACACACGGCCCTGACCTCCTCTCACCTTCTAAAGGGAGAGGAGCAACCTCGATGCGACGACTGTGACGAGTTTTTGACCGTCACACACATCATTTTAAACTGTCGTCGTTTTACAAACTTGAGGAACCGCATAAACATAAATATCGAGGCCCCCTTCAATATATCCTCGCAAAACATAAAAAAGGTGTTGTCATTTATAAAAGAGGCAGGACTGCGCAGTAAAATTTAATTAATTAATTAACTATATGTCTAGTTGTGTCCTTTAAATTATTTACTATAGAGTTCTTTTTATTTACCTTCGTGTTTGTCCGTCCACTTACATTTTTAACTATTTATTTATTTATCATAGAGTTTGTTTATTTACTTACCTGTTTGTCCGTCCATTTACACTTGTTGCTTATTTATTATAGTTTTATTTTACTTACCTGTTTGTCCGTCCTTTTACACTTGTTGCTAATTTATTATANTTTATTTAATTAATTAACTATATGTCTAGTTGTGTCCTTTAAATTATTTACTATAGAGTTTTTTATTTACCTTCGTGTTTGTCCGTCCACTTACATTTTTAACTATTTATTTATTTATCATAGAGTTTGTTTATTTACTTACCTGTTTGTCCGTCCATTTACACTTGTTGCTTATTTATTTATTATAGAGTTTTATTTTACCTACCTGTTTTTGTCCGTCCATTTACACTTGTTGCTTATTTATTATAGTTTTATTTTACTTACCTGTTTGTCCGTCCTTTTACACTTGTTGCTTATTTATTATAGTTTTATTTTACTTACCTGTTTGTCCGTCCTTTTACACTTGTTGCTAATTTATTATAGTTTTTATTTTTACTCACCTGTTTGTCCGTCCTTTTACACTTTATTTGTTCATGTACACAGTTACATTTAAGAATGATCTTACAAGTGTGATCCACGTCTAGTCACTACGATGGCCTTAATGACCTTAGATGTCGATGGGCCTATAAAAAAAAAAAAAAAAAAAAAAAATAACTCAGGTATTGTCTATAAATCCAATTTCTTTCCCCAGCATCCCCGTGCCTCGCTGCCACCAACTTCCCCATCCATCTTGTCCCCTCTGCCTTCTCCCCAGCACCAGCCACCAGTCCATCACTTCCTCTCTCAACTCATCACACTCTACTAGCAGATGGTGTAAAGACTTCCAGCTCTCCCCACACAGTCTACACCCCTTCTCACCCTCCATCCGATATCTATTGGCCCTCTCTTCGTTACCACACCTAAATCTGGCCCCCTCCTCAGCCCCATCCGCCATCATGTACTTCGATAACCCCTCTGTTACAATCTCCCCGTATTTTGGGTTATATCTACCCTGTTTTTCCGTTAGAAGCCGCGGTTTCGTATGAAGAAAAAGTGGTTTCAAAGTGCGGCTTATAAAGAAATGCGGCTTATAAAAGGTTGCGGCTTGTAGATATGTACAAAATGTACCTAAGTATTTATTAGAATTATATTTACATTATATTTATCCATTTAAAATTTTATTCATTTTAAAAATGTTTTTCTGATCGGTTTTCTTTGACGGCTAGAATTTAAATACCAAAATATAGCAAATAATATTAATAATACATTTTTAAAATTAATAAAATTTTGCAAAACATTTCAAAAATAGTACTTTTTTGTTTTTAATAAAAGTTTACTTACGTAGATATCTAGGTAATTAAAAAAAACCAAATATATTTTAATGAATTATGTACCTACTACTATGTGTAGGTAGATAAGTATTCTATGAGATCATAAAATCCATATCTTCTTCATGACCTGGTCCATCCGAATCGAAGCCTGACAAAAGGTAGTCATACAGTAAATGATCGTCCTCGTGATTATTTTCGTTGCTTTCTTCCTGTTGCTCATTTGGAATTATTTCTTCATTGTAGAATTTTATTTTAGTCTTTCTAAATCCGTTTTTAATGACGTTCTCAGAAATATTTTGCCATGCTGTGTCAATCCAATTAACGATTTCTTCATAAGACACTCGCTTTATCGGTTTTCCTGTTTCTTTATAAGCATTATAAGAATTGATCATAAATTTCTCCCACAATTCTCTTAGTTTTGCTTTAAAAGATTTATTAACTGAAATATCCAACGGCTGTAACAGTTTCGTTAATCCTCCAGGTATAACTGCAAGTATTGTTTGATTTTTTTTTAATTTATTTTTTACAGCATCGGTGCGATGTCCAGGTGCGGAGTCCAATATTAATAGGCCATTATCCCTTTTAAAAAATGATCCAGGCCGTTTATTCCAAATTTCATTTAGCCATAGCTCCATTTCATTCGAAGACATCCATCCCTTTTCATTAGCCGAAATTATAACACTTTTTGGAAAATTTCCTTTTGGGCGTGTCTTTCTTTTAAATATTACATATGGTGGCAGTTTCTTGCCACTAGCAAGAACACTTAAAACAACTGTGAAATTAGATTTTTCATGTCCAGTAGTTACANTCCATTTACACTTGTTGCTTATTTATTATAGTTTTATTTTACTTACCTGTTTGTCCGTCCTTTTACACTTGTTGCTAATTTATTATAGTTTTTATTTTTACTTACTTGTTTGTCCGTCCTTTTACACTTCACCTGTTCATGTACACAGTTACATTTAAGAGTGATCTTACAAGTGAGATCCACGTCTAATCACTACGATGGCCTTAATGACCTTAGATGTCGATGGGCCTATTATTAAAAAAAAAAAAAAAAAAAAAATACATCCTATATAAGTAAATAATTACTTTTCTGCAATTTGTATTTTTGTTTGTTAAATGAACAAAACAAAATTTCTATTGTCCTTGAACTAAATATACCCATTCCTTATCGAACTAATTTAAATTTTTGTTTTTATTACTGTATTTACTCACCAGGACTGTCAGGAACGCTATCAAAATGACAATTGATCAACAAACTATGAGGCGAATTAATACGTGACCCAATTTTAACGACAACATTTTGTAATCCACTGTAAGTATTGGTCATCCCATCCAAAAATTGTAAAGCAAATGATCCGTCGACCGTCTGTACATCCAATTCAATCACGTGATGCGATTTAGAATTTTTCATAATCTCCCCAATTTCCGTTTTGAGCAAGTTCACCGCTTCGATTTCGTTTACATGACTTCCGGTTACTCGTGGCCCCAAAGCTGTTAATTTTTTTAAATGGTCGTAAGCTCGTTCAGCGACAAAACGATTTTTATAACGGTGTTCTTCGGCCACCTTCAGCCCTTTTGGTAATTGTTTTTCGACAATTATCACTCCAAGGAAAACGATAATCATCAAAACGAAAACCCATAACATGTAGTCGCTTGGATATGGCTTCTCTACTTTCGTCTTTTCTTTCTCTTCCTGTCCAAACGGTGACTGTGGTGATGTTGAACGATCTTTGAATCTTTTACGTAAATGTTGATCATTCTAAACAAAGTATTACAAAAATATGTTAGTAAATGGACAGATTTTAAAAATAACAAAAAAGAGACAAGCGTAGGTCATTAAATGTTTATGCAATTTTGCAGTTTTCTTTGTTAAATGTAATATGAGTGTGGGAAGAACTAATTTAAACAAAGATTGCTTCTACTACTGTTGATGTATTTAAGTAATGTTATCTTATTCGTTTATTTTTCTTAGATTTTTTTATCGAGTAAATATTTGCATGTTTATCAAAACCTATTAAAAATAAAGATTATTTCATGTTTGTTGAAAGGTTTATTGTTAAGATTAAAAAATATGTTTAATCACTAAATTCTGAATTATAACACGATGATAAATTATTACATAACAGTTTTTTGATGGCTACCAAAATATGCATTAATAAATCTAAAAAAAAAAAAAAATGATTAATCTTTATTATTAATACCATTTAGTTTAGACGAGTCAAATTGGCAGGCTTCAAATGCCTTCGTTTTCAAACCAACCAAACCTAATGGTATACACCCTCAAGATATATCTAGAAATCCAAAATTAGTTACAAATACATAGACTGCAAGTGCCACATGAATAAAAAATATGCATAGAAAAAATGTTTCATTCAGTATTAAGCTTTTGTCTTCATTATTCTGAACTATCTATCGTCGCACTTTTAATATTGACATGTAATTTCAGAGTACACTGAAATACATGCTGTAAAAAAGAACATTGCAAAGACCTATAGATACCTAAAGATTACCTAGGCAAGAGAATGCTAAACATAACAAAACTTAATGTGCTATAACGGTTTATATAGAAAAACTCTTCCTATTACAATATTCTCTATATCTGTTGCCTACTAACGGCTATGTTAAAATGGAAGAAAACAGACTGTGTCCATTCCGTTATGTATGGAATATGACACCATTCACAAGTCCGCCGCTACTTCACATGATGGTGCTGATTCGAGAGGTTCAATGACTCATATGACTTTAGAAAACTCAACAAAAAAGTGTCTAGAGCAAAAAAAAAGTCTAAAGCAGCCAAATTGCACGATCTTGGTGGTCAATTCACGTTAGCTACGCGAGAGATAACCATACCCTCAAATCGTTCATGCAGAATATTCATTGTGGCGATCGCTGTGTGGCACATGGTTCATGTCCATATCGTTCAATTCATGCAAAAAGAAATTGGTTATCTTTGATTTGTAATGCTCGCCGTTGTCTGTGATGGTCTCAACTCCACCTACCTAAAATCCACACCAAACAGTATCGTTTTGCAGCTGCATTTTAACCTAGTAAATCTCGTGAGGATAACGTCATCCCAAAGTTGCGATGCCAAATTGGCCAAGTTGAAGTCTGCGAAAATCCGTGCTTTTGTGCACAGACAGCGGCGATGGTCTCGACCGATCCGGCGTTTCTTTGACGTACGGATGTTGGTTAATTGTTTACCGAACCAGTCGTTTCGAAACGTTGGAGAGTTGCAGCTCAACGTCTTTTTAGATTAACAGTTTATGTGTTGATCAGAAAGAATTGATCACTGATTGGATGATTGAATCATCTGATTGATCAATAGGCTCTTTTTAATACCCTACTACTATAATCAGTGATGCAGCAAATGCCTTTCTACTTTCTATGTACTCGTCATTAAACGTATATCTTTTCGTATTTTAAAGTTTTCACCACCAACATAGCCACCAAAATTCCCATCATCAATGCCTTCGTAGTCACTCAATTTATATCATCATACTGACACACGTTCACGCTTTCCTCAATATGCTTCTTTCAGCGGAACAAGCCATCAATCCTCAACTACTGTTAGAAAAAAAAAACAGTATATGTATATCAAATCGTCATGAAGTATTAAATCCGTTGGAATTTTCGTCCCTTGCCAATATTGTAACCATTTGTCAAGTACTTCAAATATGCTGGGCTTGCAGAAGTTAAAAATTGTTGGTGTAGCTCAGTAAGCTCAAAGTGTATGCTGATGTGATAAGAATAAAAGCAATATAAAGAAGCAATGCTTCAGTGTTTCTTATGTGGTTTTTAACGTTTTATCACCTTGAAGAACATTGGCAACAAATTCTACTAACGAACCATACCTTGCTATTATACATATGTATTGCAACAATGATGTTTCCTTCTGAGGTTGTTAAATATAGCTGATAAATTTTCGTTCTTGAAGCTGGATTTCACTATTGATTCGGATAATACAGAAGGATGACTTTCAGCAGGGATATACTTCCATTACAGATTCAAAGGATGTTGCTATAACACTCAATTCTTTGTACCACTCAAACGGGCGAATTTTTGAAGGGTGAAAGAACGAAAGTTCCTTTTAAATAGGTAGAATACGTTAGCGACAATTATTTATTGGTCATTCCAATCTTAAGTGTCTTTTCTACATAAAAACCTCAATCGTACTCATTAATTATAGTAATTATTGAATAATTCATTATAGAAAACTACAAGTGATTTGTTATTTGCTAAAGATAGAATCAAAAAAAGAATGCGACACACGCAAAACACAACAATGCATACAGTGGCAACTACAGAACGATATCTTTAATGTACAGAAAGAAAGCCAAATCGGTATGAAACAAAATCTTTAAATCTATCCCAGATATATATTTTTAAAAGGCATATGTCTAATATTACATTAAAAGGAACTAAGATAAGACGTAATGTTAGTACAGAACTACAAAGGAAACGTAAGTGCCAGATTTTAGCTTATAAAACATGTTTCTGAATTCCGCCGAATACAAAGAACTACTACATTTTGTGAAATAACAAAACTACTCAACGTAAACAATTCTATAGATATTAAGCCAATAACAGTTAAGTTAATGACTAGAATACCTTGTTTTGTACAAGTACAGACAGGAAGCTATTTGATCGAATTTATAGATAATTAAACCAATCAAAATAATTAAGTTATTTAAAACAATTTAATTAATTAAATAAAATATGCAAAAATATCGCGTTACACTCGCGAATATCCATACATTATAAGGAAGCATATACATATAAAAATGCTTAATTAGATGGGGAAATATATTTTCTTACAGATGTAAAATCGAAATTTATACAGTACAATTTTATTGTTAAAACACACTCGCCTGATGCCTGCAATATTCAAATCAAAGAACCCAACGTCTCTTTCGTCCCCTTTGATTGCACCAAGCATGAATGTAGGAGTCGCCATTAATTAAAACTACGTTACACAGTGCGTCACACAAACATACTTGCAACTGATTTCATAAAGATGATGAAGTTAATACAACCTATGATTTAACTAATTATATGCAGCTAATAAACAGTTGCATGGATTAATATGGGTAACACAGCTAAGTAGGTAACATAGCTGCCCAATGAAGTAATCAGTTGCAATGTTTCATGCTGTAGTACGTCAAAAACATTAGAGAAATTGAATGGCAAGAGTGCAGTGCTCAAACTATAACAAATTCTGTCATGCATTACTAGGAAAATATCATCAGTAGTTACATCTAATAGGACAAATATATTAGATAAAACTTTCAATTAGAGGTAATTATTTTTCAAAAACCTTGAACACATAGGTATAAAACAGTCTGAGAGTGGGTACAAACTCGGCAGTAGTTAATTAAGCGTATTTGATTATTATTATTTAAATTTTAATAATAACAATTTCTTTAAAAAATTGTTTAATGTTATTGATTAATCATTATTATAATTTAAGCCAATTTATTCGAAATCTTGTTTCGCGAGAGTAAAATTTCTGTGAGATTATGTTTAGATTCCCCCACTAACATTGAAAACAAGTTGACGTGGAAGGGAGATAAGTTAATATTGATATCGAGCGTTTAGGAAAGTATTGTTTGGTGAACACTCTTTATTTATCGCTAGGTATACATTATAGTTGGCTACACAATTTCTAAAAATTGGCTCGGTTTTTCCGGATCTCGACCGGCTCAGACATGTGGATCAGAATATGTTTAATATTATTTGCTTGGCTGAGACATTGAGCGTTAGAGGTTTTACGCTAATTCGGGGATAGAGGAGATGGAGCTACTTTGTTGATAAGGCAGGATAATCTTTTCAGTGCTTATCCTCCCTCGATTTAGGTACTTGCAGATAACTGCAAATTAGTAAATACTGGCAGGTGATTTGACGTATATTGATTACTGTCTCTTTATTTATTTTTTATCAAATTATCACCCAGTCCCTCAATTACTGGAATATCGTCCACCTTAGTAATGCCTACCTGATTCTACAATGTGGCGACTTGATGGATGTTTCCGACCATTTCACCACTTTTTGCAAATCACCAGAGTGTTATAAGGAATAAAGATATCCATAAAATAGTTTTTTTTAATTTACTCAATTTATAGGAATTTGACACAACATCGATTTTATGGTTGTTACTGCAGGATACACTTCTTTACGTGCAACATACAAATTTAGTTTTAAATGAATTTTTTATCATTCATTTAATGAGAAAGATTTGAATCTTGGTTGATGTGCCTCGCTGATATGGCTTAGATCTTAATTTAGCTAAGACAGAGCTACTTTTATTCGGTCCCAAAAATGATCATCGGTTAACAACCATATTAATTGATGAAAATTGTACATTGTTGCAAATTTTTAAATTTTCAGGTTGTGCAAAATCATTAATTGCTTTAATTCTTGATTGTTAAGAAAGAATTTCGTCTGAGGAAACGTTGTGACTGAGAAAGTCTAAAGAAGAAAGTCCAAAAAGGCATTTTGTTGGTTGGATATTAATACCGAAGTCGTTTAATTTCTCAGACAATAACCTTAAATGGACGAAGTGTTCATCTTCAGCTTTACTAGCGATAAGAATGTCGTCTAAGTATACGAAAAGAAAATTTAGACCAGAAAGTCTCATTAATAAAATGTTGGAATGTTGGCGCAAAATTTCTTAAACCGAAGGCATACCGGTAGATTCATAAAGACCAAATAGGGTAGTAATTGCCGTTTTGTAAACATCTTCCGCTACAGGTATTTGATGCT